TCCTCCAGAGACAGCACAGAAAGGCACATCATCTTCCACTCTCCCCACAGGTTCATGACGTACCCTGCCGTGTGCAAATGGCAAGAGGGTTCTCCAGCACCCTGTCGCTTGGTTGAAACATTTTTATCAACTGCATTGGAAGTCCATCTGACCAAATCCATAACATTAATTTACAATTCGGAAAATGTGTAGACAGAAGCTCCGATACACAGGACAGAGAGCAAAAAGCAGGAGGAAGGCAGGAGAGGGAAGAAAAAGCATCCATCTTGTTCGAGAGCGAGTGAGGAAAAAACATTTATGTGAACTAAACTGAGCAAAGCCAGCTGAGCAGTAACACTCATCTGCTACTGAAGGTTGTTCTGCACTCTGGTTTTGATTAACTCGATACGTCAACATTTGCATTTGACTTTTATTCCATTGTAACTTTGTCTCAGAGAATAATTGCTTCTGTTAAAAGAGGATGTGACAACTCTGAGCTGCCAGGCAACAAGTGAAAACGTCTTATTCTGTGGGAGATGTGTTCAGCTTGTTTAGATTTTGAGCTGAATACAGGCCATCCTGCACCATCCAGAAGAAACGTGATGAAGACTAAAGCAGGTTATTTGGTATAAAAAAGGATGGTAACCCTAATGGCTAATTAAAGTTTGATCCTTTTGATTAAACGTGTAAACACCCTGTTTAAGCTGAGCATCCTGTTGTACCTGCACCATCTGTCTCCATTAAACAACATTTTTTGGTTCAAACTTTCTACCACTGCAGTGTCACCAAGAAGTCGTGGTTCTGTGTCTGAAATCTGACCTCGCTGCAGATCAATTTGCCGGCGGCTCAATCTGTCACTTGTTCGAACAAATAAAACTGAGGGTGAAATTGTAATGGAATGTAAAGTGTGTCCCCTCGTGTTGAACCTTGATATGTTGTCTGCTGCTGGTAGGAATTGGCATGACGGCGAAGCCTAATGGCATCACGTGACGAGTGGAGCAAAATGAACCCGTGTGGGCCTGCGTCGATCCCAGCTAGAGTGCATTAGATCAAAAAGATTGCTCCCAGCAAAATGCAGTACGTGGCAACCAGCCCTGATCTATGGCCATAGCTTCAGGAATGATCAGTGTGTTCTGTGGGTTTGCAGCTTCTACCCTCCATTCTCTGACATTTTTTCTTTCCTTTTGTTTTTCCTCTTCGTCCTGGCAGTTGTGCATGTGCACGTGCCCTCAGACGGAGAGCCTGAGCTGCAGAGAGGTGGTGTGTCGTTGAGGCCAGCCCGTCCTGACTCAAACTGATGATGGAAAAGAGGAGGATGGACGCAGCACTGCTGGTGTTGGTTTTGGGACATTTCGCCATCGCTTTGGAGGTCCCGCTAGACCGTAAGGCAACAAATCACACGCTCACACCGCACAGTAGACCCCAAACCTTTTAGTTTTGGTATCAGAATGGTACTGTTGAAGTCGTGGATTAACTTAATATTTTGGTTTGAAATGCAATTAACTAAGCGAAAACATGACCTTTAAAGTTTCTTTCAAATAACCAGTACATTCTATTTTGAGGAAAGAAATAGCAAAAATTAATTCTAATGTTCATAAAATGATTCTTATTTGTGTCTTTTCATTAGTAATTATGACTCGTTGTGCTTTCTGTGGGTAAGCAAGATGGCCTACAGTGTTTTTTGTCCAACATGACCCACCATGTTGTGTTGTGATAAATGGCAAACTAAAGCAGGCAACAGACGAGAACTAAGTTTTTATGATGGAATTAGGTACTCTGCAGGTTTAGGCGAAACAGTATTAGTAAAATAAAATAGACTTTGATATTGTTGAATTTTGAGTTGAAAAACAAGTTGTGCATTTTCCTCACTTGTTTCTTTTTGTTTAATCATTACATTGTCGAGAACACTCTGTGTTTCAGCATCTTGATCACAATCATCACCTGCAGGGAGGGTCCAACAGATCTGTTGTTTATTATCGGGGCGCAGAACTTTCATAGCCTCAATTGTTTTGCAGTCCAAGCATTTCATGATGTTTTCTGAGTCCACTGACGTGACAACAAACAATACAGGAGAAAATATTCACTCCCTTTCATGTTTTAGCTTTTTTATTGCTATTATAAATCAGTCATGGTCAATAAAAATTGGCCTTTTTGCCAAAATTTTAATTCCAAAAAAGAGCTTGTATTTACACGTAGTAAATAAATAGATATATTGCCTCGAAGACTCATTTACAAGTGAGACCTGTTTGAACAGACAATAAAAAGTGGTGAAAAATAACACATAGGGTTTGGAGACAAAAAAATTATTAACACACTTTTAACCTCTGAAGGTCAACAGTGTGATAATGAAAAAAAATCTCTGTGATATTTTAACAATCTTTTCTCTGAGTTAAATTAATAATGTTATTTTAAAGAGGGTGAATACTGATGCATTCACTTATTACATTTCATATATTTATTTAATTGGGAATTCTTTGTCGAAATTTCATTTCATTTTATCATTGAAGAGGTTTTTTTTAATCCCCAACAAAGTCTAATTTATATTGACTATGACCGATTTCTGACATTAAAAAAAGAGTAAAACACACAAAGGGTGAGTATTTTTTAGAGCCTGACCGATGTAGATGTTTTGGCTATCGCCGATACTGATACTGGGCGAGGAAGGCGACCACCAATAACTGATCAAACAGCTGTAACATTTTGAGCTTTGTCTGCCTCCAACAATCAAAGTAAACAACGAGTGGAGCAGAACTTGTTTATTTAGTGCAGCTGTTAGCCATCATGAAGCTAAGCTAATCAGATTAACGTGTAGTCCCACAGGTTTACAAGTCACTGGTCATAACGTGCGTTCACATTTTCTATCCTCCGCTATTCACCATAAAGTTATCAAGTGTGTTACAAAATATAAATTAAACAAAGAAACACCTTCCCTGTTCATTGTTTAAACAGTCGTCACGTATGGTGAAGGTCTAATTAGTAATGACCATAACAGAGTTTTCTTTTCTTTACAGAGAAGTAACAATTTCAGAAAAACAATGCATTTCATTGACAACAAAGATAACATTACTAACACTGATATATTTTACTGCTACGTTAGATTTATTGTTCTGGATGAAGCTTTACAAGGCAATAGCCTTTGCTAGGTTATCTAAATGTTAGTTTGCTAACTTGAGAGGCACGTAGCTAATGACAAGTGGATTGGAGGATTGAGGATAATTTATTATTGTTGATTTGTTTTACAGATCAGTTAAAATAAACTTACCATGCTCTGTTCAGCAAAATGCTCTACACAGTTGTTCCCTGCTTCATCTGAGCTGAATGTGAAAGTGAAACTTAAGTGAATGGCAATGACTTGAAAGCCTTCATGCGCCCTCTCCTGGATACATTGTACAATTACTGCTGGTTCCAGTATTTTAGGGGTGAAAATTGGAAGTGTTTATATGGCAAATAATGGGACAATTATCACCAATACCAATAGGTCCCAAACGTCTAAATCGGCCTAAAATATCGGCCCCACCAATATATCGGTCGGGCTCAAATACTTTTTCTAGGCACCAAAATATTTTCAGTATATTTTGTTATCCTGTTGCTGGTTCTCCTTCACTGCTGGGAAAGGATGGGTTTGTGGTTTTATTAGGGTTCATATCTCAGCATCGTTTTGTGAATGTGTGTTTGTTTCTTCTTGATATTTGGAGTAGCCTGAAAGGTTTCCATGCAGTGGAATAATAGATTTAAAGATTTGGAAAGAGGAAAAAAAAATGTGGTTTTAACTTCAGGTGTCAACAAGTTATTTTTCTGGTGTTTTTAATTTATTTTATGTTAACCCTGTGTACATTCATTTATTTTCTTTCAGTATTTTCCATTAATGTCACAGTGACAGACACAACAAACAAAAACTCATTAAATAATCTGCTGGATGTTTCCTCTGTTACTGTTTTAACTCACTTTGTTCATAAAATTTACTGAATTAACTCTAGGTAAAATGTTAATTTTGCTCAGTTTTTTTTTTTTATTTTTTAAAGAAGTTAATTTCTGATTGATATTATTCATTAAAAATGAATCCAACAGGAACTTTGAATTACCGTACATTGCTTTACAGCATTTTTATCAACCGTTCTATCCTAAAACTGCACGGCATCAGATTCTACATTTCTGGAACTCTTCAAGTTTAACTCTTTATTTTTCTTGTTTTGTCCTCTGTATTATGAAGCCAATGTTGGGCCTGAGGTTCTTATTTTGATGGATATAAAAAAGGACAAGGAGGATGCCAGACTGACTTTCATCCCTCGAGCTTGTTTTTATTAAAGTAGAATTTTAGGGACGTAACATCTGGTTGAATACTTGCAGTCCTTGATGAAGGACCAGATGTATGAAGACTTTGCAGTGAAGCTGAAATCTGTATTTTTTTTACAACTAATCTGCTTCTCTCCACTGTCACATTGTTTTCTTATTTGCTGTTTCATTGTGGGGGAAAACACAAAAGTTCTGGAAGGATGTAAGTCTCAAATGAACGCGTCCGCAATGGCAAAGTTTTGATTTGTGTGTGCAGAGTTATGTTTATGTAGCTGAATATTTCATTTGTTCGAAGGTACCGAGTGCCATTTGAAGTGAACATTTGCATGCATTGATTTCTTTATCTGCTTTTTTAACATGGTTTTGTGTGTTTCTGCAGTGGTAGATTTTTTTTTTCCCCTTAGAGCGGGATTGCAAACAGCATGAGGTTCTTCTGTTATTTGTTTAGTCATCGTTCATTAAGCATCTCCCTGATGCTGGCAGGAAGTCACTGAGCGTCAAATTGTTGCAGGAAGAAGAAGTGCACCTGAATGTTCTGCATGCCTTTTTCCGTTGCACATGTTGTGAAAGCTTTTATTTATTGCATGTCAGCAAACTCCTGTCTGGCTTCAGTCTGTGTGTGTTTGAAAACGACTGCTCGTGTGGTCAGTACATCAGGACAAAAAGGGCTTAGTTATGCAGTTAAGGTTTTACTTCCTTCCTTTTGATTCCCTTCAGTGCCGCAGCCCCCGACAATAACTCAGCAGTCCCCAAAGGATTACATCATTGATCCACGGGAGAATATTATAATTCACTGCGAGGCCAAGGGGAAGCCACATCCCAGGTAGGAATAACCCGAGGTTGATTTAAATTTCACAACGCTAATTGGTGAATAAAAACGCTCCTCTGTCTGTCACATGAGAGGATTCAGCTCCCAGCAGTTTTCCATCCATTCAGCCTGAATCTACTTTTAAAGTTTGGGTTCATTCAAAGTTAAAAAATAAAATAAAATGGTGTTGAATTGTTGGCGAGTTGCCTTTAACAGAGGCTGATTAAGGCTAAGACTTAAATACTTTAAATGTGCATGATGATAATTAAGAACTTGGTGCAACTGCCAGAACCACAGTGATTAAAAAACTTGTTTTGAGCCTTTATCCTTGATATTATTTTGCTTAACATTAATCCAAATGAACAAGGAAGTTCATTTAATATTACAGACTCATGCGGCTTCAGACAAGATCATGGTGAAAGGAAATACAGTAGTCCCTCGTTTATCGTGGAGGATCCGTACCCTGAAGCCCCACGATGTGAAAAATCGCCAAGTAGGAATAGTAGTACAAGTAGTAGTTTATTTTAGTATTCATATATATATATATATATATATATATATATATATATATATATATAAATGCATTTTAAACCCTTCCCACACTCCTGCAATATTCTAAACAATGTTTCTAAACTCTAAATGCTCTTAAAAGCACAGAATGTCATGATTTCAGCTCTCCGCCTCCTCTGCTCTCAGCCACCTGCAAGTGCTGTTGGCCACGCCCACTTCTCCGCTCTGCAGGAGAACAGCTGATCAGATGCTGGAGGAAGTTTATCCTGCAGCTTTGGGCTGCACAAAGGTGCAGCAGGTGCTAAATAATTTAAAATAATTTATTTTAAATAAAAATTCCATGCCAGTCGTGCAGCTCATCCATCAATCAGCCAATTGTGTGTCCAATCTTATTTTGAAAAAACGCGATAGAGCGAGTCCGCGATAAACGAAATGTAAAGTAGTGAGGGACTACTGTACATTAGCTAATGTTCGTATTTAAGACGAGCTTCGGTTTGACTTCTTTAATCCATATTTATGTTAATCCAATGCAGAATGAGCTTATCGGGACAGTTTCTGGTGAGTCACACGTTGTTACAGTCTGCTCTTGTGTCTTCAGATTTTCCTGGACCAAAGATGGGACTCACTTCAACATTGATGAGGACCCCAGAGTGACCATGAGGCCCCACTCCGGTACGCTGGTGATGGACATCAGTATGACGAGGGCTGAAAATTACGAGGGGGTGTTTCAGTGCACGGCGAGGAACAACCATGGAACCGCCATTTCCAACAACATAGTCGTGAGACAGTCGAGTAAGTACGATGTGGTGTTTTGAACCATTTTGGCATGACTGCCTCAGAGGAGTTGACGGGGGAGAGGGCGGGCCCCAGAAACCATCTTATCACCAGCAAACTGTTTTTTTCCACTATGGGAGTGTGGTATTTGTAGGACTCTAGTTTGTTTGTGGCTTCTCTGACTGAAGAAGTCCTTTGGATGAAGGATGAAACATCTTAGCAGAAAAAAGAAAAGAAAAAGAAACTGTCCACATGACCTGACTGAACATTGTTGGATTTGTACCTGGATTATTGAGCATGAAGTGTTGGTACAATCTGACACGTTTCATCAATTTGAGCAGCACATATTTCACAACATCTCCTTTATTTCTTTTTCTTAAATCGTTTAAGTTGACTTGTTCATCGTTAAGGTTCTCATGGAAGGTAAAGTTTGCATGAAGTAAAAGTGATGCATGTTTTATTTGCAGGATCCAGTAGTGGGTAGACTTTATTATCCTGATGTTTGTTCCCCCTGTAGCTGTCTGTGACTCGGTTAGGCATCGACCTGCGATCTTCCCACACTGCATCTGTCATCCACGTGTTGGCAGCAGTCCAGTGTCAGTATGTAATGTTAACATGTGACACTGTTCATCATGTCAAACTCTCCAGGATCTCCCTTGTGGTCAAAGGAAAAGATGAGGCCGATCGTGGTGCAGGAAGGTGTGTCCTTGGTGCTGCGGTGTCGACCCCCCGCCGGCCTTCCTCCCCCCATTATATTCTGGATGGACAATAGTAAGTCACTCACTCCTGACTTATTTGTCTGTAAATGTTGCAGGTAAAAATAAAAGTTAGAGTTTTACATTTTGTTGGCCTGTTTACCTCAGATTAATTCAACCTTTATTTAGACAGGTAAATCCCATTGAGCCTCGAGGACTCATTTACAAGAGAGACCTGATTTTAACAAAGAATGATGACAACAATAGACAGTTATAAAAAGGCATAGGGATTTTTTTTTTTACTACAAATTAAAATAAGATGGCAAAAGAGTAACAAGAGTAACAAAAACAGCTAGATTATAAGGTGAATGTAGAAAACTAAAAACAGGAACATGTCTGCATTGGTCCCTGCCAGGTCCAACAGATTCTTAAAGCCACTAGAGGTCAAGGTCGAGAGCTTCAGGTCTTTTTGTAAGATATTCCAGGAAACAGGAGTGGAGTAGGAGAAGGCCCTTTTGCCAAGTTCAGTCTGCACTGAGGGGACATATCCTGTAGAATTTGTTGTTTGCCTTCTCAGGCTGCTTGACTTTTGATCTCTTAACCTCCTAGGACCTGGCATCCACATACGCAAGAGTTCGGGTCTTAGGAGGTTAATGTATTTATCACATATTTTTGGGAAGCGTTCACCGTAATGCCGTCTGTAACCTCCCTCATATCTTACTTTGTGTACCGTATTTTTCAGCCTATAAGTCACAGTTTTTTTGCATAATTTGCATGTCCTGCGATTTATATGCCGAAGTGATGTATTTATAGATTTCCCCATATTTATAAACCAAATTTTGGCTGAGATATGACCGTTTTCATTCATTCTGACTGAAAATATTGAACACTACCAGTTTCAGCCGCTAGATGGCAGTCGAGCTGTATAACATGCTGTTATGTCATGTAATATGTAAAAGTGGCTATTAATGACACAATCGGCTTGCCATATCCTGCCACCTTTGTTCTGTTCGCTTGGAGCAACTGTCAAATCAGCTTCATTTCGCAACGCTGCCCCCAGCAAAATGAAGCAGATTTGACCATCAAAGTGCATTTAATAAGTAAATGTTCAACTGAGACACACCTTTATTATATAGTCGAGCAAACACATAATTGTTTTTAAGTGTTAATCCTGTTAAATTCTTGTTAAAGTCCTGCCGTGCATGTTCCCGCGGCCGTCATTTGGCAGCCACTCGATTTTTGGCACAACTCCGGTCCACATTTCCAGGTTGTCAGCGGTGACGTGTAACAAACGTGACGCGTCAGCGGTGACTCATAATAGATGCAACGTTTTTGTGGATTTTTCCACTTTATTAGACGTATTTGGACTGATGCGACTTAGAGGGCAGTGCGACATTTAAGGCAGAAAATACGCTATTTGTTGAACTCATAATGCGAGTTTACTTAATTTGCACTTTTTCAGACTTTCAGAAGCTGCCTCAGAGCAAGCGGGTGTCCCAGTCCCTGAACGGCGACCTCTACTTCTCGAACGTTCTCCGAGAGGACTCCAGAAATGACTACATCTGCTACGCTCGCTTCACACACACACAAACCATCCAGCAGAAACAACCCATCACTGTCAGGGTCCTCAACCGTAAGTCTCTCTCTCTCAGTCAAATGTGGTAAAAATCTTTAAGCGTGGTGAACCTTTGTATGAATGAGGTGAATACAGAGCGGTGGTGTTCGTGTGTAATGTGTGCGTGTGTATAAGAAGCAGCTCTCTTTCAGTAGCTCTGTATGTGCTAACATGACAGCGTGCGAGGCAAACAGTGTTTCTCATATCTCTTCCTCTGAGACGCCAGCGTCAGCGTCCCCCTGAAAAGACATATTGTCCGAGTTCTCGAGGTTCTCTGCACGATCTGTTAAGCAGCCGTTCGCTGTCACTTCAGACTGCCGTTCAAGTCTGCTCTCATCACTTTCACATTGACAGTTCACAGGCTGAGTCTGGACCACAAAGACATTCCTCATCTACGATTTTTAGTTTTGTTTAAATTTTATCTTTGTCGTGTTAATTTGTCCAAATGTTTGTTATTTTAATTTCATAACATTTTTCATTTGATGCACGTGTGATTTTCTGTTGTGTTGCAGTGGATGCACTCAATGACACAATGGCAGTTTTTTACAATGACACTGATTTGTTTAGTGGTGAGTTTTGACACCCTCTAGTTTTTATTCCTCCTCACCTCCAGAACTAGAGATCCAAACTCTAATCTTTACCCACTAACACCAATCCTTTACCTGGTTCTCCTTGGATTATTTCATTTTTTACAAGATCAGTGGTTTATTCATGGCTGGGATTTGGCGCCCCCTTGTGGCTTCCCCTAACATAGAACTGGGAACTGCAGCTTACCTTCTAATACCCCTCAACCCTCAAAATCACTCCAGCTGACCCCTCCACCCCCACCCCCACCCCATTATTCTTTGGCTAACTTTCTCTTCATTCACTTGAACTTTGCACTGTATGCTGATTTTATTTAGCTTAAAAAATTACCAAGGTAAGTATAAACTTAAACTATTAATGATTAACTCTCCTCCAAATTAAAATTTTCTCTCTTAGAAAAATGAGCAAATGTAATGTGTATTGCTAATAAAAACATTTTTCCATTTCTCCATTCAATCCTTGATTTAAACACTAACACTTTAATCACTCCGTCATCATTATGTTCACATTGATTTGCTACTCATTGCTTTAAAACTCTTTTGCTCTCTGTGAAGAGTTTGAGTAAACTCTGAAACACTTGAAACATTCAAACAGGTCCATTTCCCTCAAATTCATGAAAGCAACTACAGTCATCATGAAGAAGTTTTAGTTTTGACTTCAGTAATTGATTAACTTTGAAAGATCATTGCTACAAACAGAGTAGTAGATTTATTTTTTATTAGTAATGGGAGGACAGTTTATTAGTAATCAACACACACACATAACTCAGTGCATTAAAACATCATGTTTTATTAATAAATATATATTATAACATGTATATTTATTAATAAAACATGAGCATTTTTGCAGTGCATAAATACAGTTCATCTCAGAGCAGCAGAGGTTTCCCTGCTTCACTTTGTAGACTGGTGGGGGTTAGTGAGCAGAACGGACCTCTTCTTTTCATTCTGGACTCATGCTAAATGTTGTATCTGGGCTTTTTACTCACTGTGTGTATTGTGTGTGTGTGTGACTTCAGAGGCCCCAGTGGATGAAAGGAAGCCAACCTTCCTCATCCCATCTGGCTCCTCCAGCTCCATGATGGTGCTGCGAGGACACGTTCTGGACATGGAGTGCATCGCTGATGGACTGTAAGTCAGAGAACCCACCAGTGTTGAATATTACAAAGATCTGAGTATCCACCTTCTTGGTCATCGCTCTTTTCTTACTGGATTCAGTCCGACTCCTGAAGTATCCTGGAGCAAAGTGAGCGGCGATCTTCCGTCCAGGCGCACGTCCTTCCTGCACTTCAACAAGACCCTTCGCATCGTGAACGTATCCGAGTCAGATGCAGGAGATTACCGCTGCACAGCCAGGAACCAGCTTGGCTCTGTGCACCACGTCATCAGTGTCGCCGTCAAAGGTGCGTCCGTGAAGATTCTTGACGTATTCCATCAGGGAATCTGATCTGAACCAGCACAGACTCTCTTTTTTCCATTTGCCATCTTCCTCCATCTCATAATTGATTCATGCACAGATGCCAGCAGGGTTGTGTGTTCAGTAATTAATTCTCCACCCTGCTGCTGCTGCTCTCTGCTCTACTTCCAGCTGCCCCTTATTGGATCAGTGGCCCACCGAGGAACCTTGTTCTGTCTCCAGGAGAGAATGGAGGGCTGACCTGCAGAGCCAGTGGAATACCCAAACCCTTCATCATGTGGACCATGAACGGCATCCCCATAGAGAGTAAGACCTGCTCCTCTGACCCAAAGTTACTCATTTAGTCACACCAATTCTCAAAGCAGTTCTTTATTTAGACTTTTTCATATTTCAAAGGAAACATTTTTGCAGATGACTTTGGTCTTATTAACATTTTCAATCCTATGGTGAAGATTTGAGTAGAAATTTAAACATTCCTGTTTAGTGTTAAAAGACATTAAAGGGATAGTTTCGATCTTGCAAAGTAAGAGTATGGAGAATGGTTGTGGACATTTAATCTATCTGTGTAGATAGCTTTCTGAGCAATCAGCTGGAGAAATAAAAGTTTAATTTCTGCCAGACTGATGAGCTAAAGACTGGTCTGGGTGAGACCTGCTGTTATCTTAAAACTCCAGTTTCAGAAATGTTGTACCCATTCATGTAAATGATCATTATAAACCCTCATGCCATCAGTTCTGCTTTATTTGACTCTTCTAGCAGAATTAAAACGATCTTTTTGCTGGAAGTGCTCCAGGCAGAGCAAGCTTATTGCTGCTGAGGCTTTTTGTTTCTGCGGATAACCTAAAATGTTCATGTGATTAATTGTGCAATGTGAAATTTATGGCAATATAAATGCTTATAAATGGTGTTTGGATGCTCTTCTATGAACCTGTTAAGATTGGAGTTGTTTTAAGATGGCAGCAACACATTTTAGCCTTGGCTCCGTTCAGACTAGCTGTTAGCTTTAGTTCTCTAAAATGCGTCCTTTCAAAGAGCTAAGTGCAACACGTAAGATATTCTTTGCTCACAATCCTTCCACAGAACCCCACTTAAAAAGAACTATCCCTTTAAGGATGATGACAACTTCGTTTTAATGCAGATGTTTGCAGATTTTTAACATTACTTCAAAACACTTGATAACTGCATACGTGTGTAATGCTGTAAAAGATTTAATTTAAGAGTTCACGTAAAATAATCTCTCTTTAAATAAAAGTTAACCTTGTTTGGCTCATTTGAGGCTCGTAAGGTACAACCACAGGCAGCAAGGCAAGAATTAAAGTCTGAAGATAACTTTGTTAAAAATCTTTGCAGGTCTTGCTTATTGCACGACAAATAAAACGACTAAATTATGTTGAAATCTTGTTGATGCTGAACTTAGTGATGCTCAGAATTTTTCTTTAGAAAGACGGATGATCTTTTTTACTAACCTTACTGTAGTTGCACATCTGTTTTACCAATACTGACAATACATTTTATTACACCTGTGCTGCCATTGATCTAGTTAGAATTATTTCAGCAACATGTATGTACATTTTAGAATCAAACTTCACTTTAACTCTCTGTTGTGCTTTAACAGATTCACCTCCAGATGCAGACAGAAAAGTGGAGGATGACATGATCATATTCACCAATGTCCAGACTGGCTCCAGCGCGGTGTACCAGTGTAATGTTTCTAATGAGTATGGCTACCTCCTGTCCAACGCTTTCATCAACGTCCTCTGTGAGTTTCTAACACATCATTCGAATGCCATTTTCAGTTCTTGCTGTTTCTGAGGTAATAACAGGGAAATAACTGCTGTCGGCCCATTGCAGCGGAGCCGCCCAGAGTGATGACACCACCCAACAAAATCTACCAGGTCATCAAAAACCACCCGGCCCTGTTGGACTGCTCTTCCTTTGGATCACCCATTCCAAAAATTACATGGTGAGTAAATGAACCTTGAACAGAGGAAGGTGTCATAAAATGTTTCTTCATAATGGGACATCTCTCTGTCTTAGGTTCAAAGACACTCGCTCCAGCACCCTCGATGGAGACCCTTACGTCCTGCATGAGAACGGCACCATCGAGATTCCCGTAGCCCAAGCCCAAAACAGTGGAAAATACACGTGTGTTGCCAGCAACTTACTGGGTATCCATGAGAATCATGTCTACCTGGAGGTCAAAGGTAAGGGGGACTTTGATCTTAAGTGTTTGAGATTATTGCCCTGATTCTCACAAGTGGTAAAAGTTACCAAATACTAGAGCCCGACTGATATGGACATTTTTGGGATACTGATATTGGGAGGGGAAGACGACTGCCGATAACCGATATAATGGCTGAATATTTTTGAGCTTTGTCCACCCCCAACAAACTAAGAAAACAGTGATTGGAGCGTGGCTTGTTTATTTAACACAGCTGTTAGCAACCATGAAGCTAAGCTAATCAGATTCACGATATACTTAATCAGATCCATGATATACATCATACGTGTCAAACTCAAGGCCCAGAGGCCAAATGTGGCCCTTGTTGACATCTTTTCTAGCCCCCAAGCTGTTATTTCAAATGTAAAATACTTTTATCACTTTAATTTTTTCAGTAATCTTTGATTATGATGTCAAAAGTGCAACAGAGAACATCAAATGAGACCAATCAAACTCTTGTTGAGGAACCTGCAACCAAGAGAAGGTCTCTCTTGTAAATGAGTCCTCAAGGCTCAATGGGATTAACCTGTCTAAATAAAGGTTGAATGAAAATAAAGAGAAAATGTTAGGCATCTAAAGAGTTAATGTAGATTCTGAAACTGGCTCTTGGTTTGAAAAAGTTTTTAATTTTAGCCCCCTTTTGTAAGTGGGTCTGACACCCCTGCTATACAAAGTCCCCCAGTAGGTTATCAAGTTGTCCACTGGTCATAAAACCAGTCTTCCTAACGTGCGTTCACATTTTCTATCCTCCACTATTCACCATAAAGTCCATAAAAGTGTGTTACATAAATATAAATTAAACAAACAAAAAAATGCCCTTCCCAGTTCATTGTTTAACAGTCAGTTATGTATGTTGAAGGTCTAATTAGTATTGTCCACAGCAGAGTTTATTTTTCTTTGTAGAGAAGTAAATATTTCAGACAAACAAAGCATTTCATTGAGGACGACAAAGATAATGTTACTACCAGTGATATATATTTACCGCTACGTTAAATTTATTATTCTGGATAAAGTTTTACAAGGCCTGTGCTAGGTTATTTAAACGTTAGCTTGCTAACTTGAGAAGCATGTAGCTAATGACAAGCGGGTTGGAGGATTGAGGATAATTTATTATTGTTAATTTGTTTTACAGATCAGTTCAAATAAACTTACCGTGCTCTGTTCAGCAAAATACTCTACACTGTATTGCTCCCTGCTTCATCTGTGCCGAAAGGGAAAGTGAAACTTAAGTGAACAGCCATGACTTGAAAGTAGTCTTCATGCACCCTCTGCTGGATACATTGTACAATTACAGCTGGTTCCAGCATTTTAGGGGTGGAAATTAGAAGTGTTTATATCAGTGCATAATGGGACAGTTAACACCGATACCGATTGATCTCCAAACGTCTATATCGGCCTAAAATATCAGCCCTTCCGATATGTCAGTCGGGCTCTACCAAATACAATATTATTTCACACTGTTAAAAATCTGAGTGATAATTTTTCAGTCCTGTAATTATAATGTTGTTTTGTTGCATTGCTTTTAAGTTGGTCCATACATGTGTAATTGTCCTTACATTTATGAAGTATGTGTGCTAGCAATTAGGATTTTTAAGACTAAAAAACAACGTTTGTGCAGATGTGTGCATGCAGACAAGTGAAGACACTTCCCTTATCTTATTGTTGTTCATGTCCGTCTCTCCCTGCCTTCAGAACCCACACGAATCCTAAAGCAGCCAGAGTACAAAACAGTCCAGCGGGGCAGGTCTGTGGTGTTTGAGTGCATAGTAAACCATGACAAAACCCTGTTTCCCACCATGACCTGGCTCAAAGATGATGACGAGCTGCCTGATGAAGAGAGGTCAGCACGTTTTAACATCTCACCTGTTCTCTTGTGTCTTAATGCAGAACAAATCTCTTACACTGATCTTGGAATAGCTATTTGGCTGCACAAGTAAAAACTCTGTAGACGGTTTGTCTAATTATATTCTTTTTTCCCCCTTCAGATTTATTGTTGGCTCTGATAGTCTGAGAATCATTGATGTGACAGAGAGCGATGCGGGGGTGTACACATGCATCATGAACACCACTCTGGACCACGACTCAGCCTCCACCAAGCTCACTGTTGTTGGTACGTGTTGTTTTGCTGGAGCTGGACACAGAAACAACCTGATTCATTTTAAACAAACTGTCTGTTCATCTTAGGTTCTCCTAGAGATGAAAACATATTTTTCAATATTCACAAAATATAGCCTGCCAGCTCTCTAAGGATAATTAGTGGAGTTTGTGTGTTAGAGCAGATGCAGTGAGTGATTGTGTCAGAAGCATAAATATTTGATTGCCGCCCTCTTAGCCAGACAGATAACTTACTGTAACTTTCTGATGGTCGACTGAGCTCAAACTTCTTATTTCACTCCTGCCCTCCGACCTGTAGAGGCCATTCCAGGTAAACCTGCAACATCCAGATGTGCTCTGCAGCATGTGCTTGTGGTGTTTGCTGTATGTTTCTGTTAAATACAGCATGCCAGGACTTTAAAACAAGTTCTGTGGTTTTGACATTCGTGGAGCGTTGCGCTGTTTCTCTTTTCATCTGTTCCATAAATTGATTTTTATTACCATTTTATGTTTTACTGCTTTTCCATTTTTGCTAAATGAAGTGTCGAATGCAATGAGTCGCTGATACAAACATTTAGCAACAACAAAAAATGCATTTGCTCCTGCACTTCAAGTCAAAGGCAGTTTCAAGGCAGATGTGGTGTGCATTCCCCTCGTGAGATTTTCTCATTAAGCATTTCACTTCATCATCACAACACGAGTGCTGCTTTAATCTGTCGGGTGTGAGCCGGAGTGCAGGTTCTCAAGCTGAGCGTCACTCATTTTATTGTGCATGAAGCAGCGCCTGCATGTGCATCATCAGTGGGTCAAATGATGTAATCACAGGGAACGTATAAATAAATAAACGTTTTATTTTGGACTTTTTCATTCAAGCTTTTGACATTTGTACAGTCCTGTCATATTCACAGAAACATGACCCACAATAAGCACACTGCCTCTTGTTTCTAATGTTTTCCCCTCAGAGAAACCCGACCCCCCCACTGACCTGGAGCTGACAGACCAGACGAAGAGAAGTGTTCAGCTCACTTGGACCCCGGGGGATGAACATAACAGTCCCATTCAAAGTAAGTATCTGTGTGTGTGTGTTTGCAGCCTGTTAGAGCCGTGGATTAAATTATTTTCACTACTTTGACAGCATTTAGCCTTGTCACACCTGAGTTCTCAAGACTCAATGAGACTACCTGTATAACTAAAGGGGAAAAGAATCTGACCAATGAAATTACTAAACAGGTCACTCTCCCTGTTCTTCCCTCCCCGTTGTGCCCCCAGGGGTATGGGCTTTGTTCCCCCCTCCCTGGGGGCACAACAAAGTATTTGCAGCCACTTGAAACAAGTGAATTGTGCATTTAAAATGGCACCTCGAGCTCGGTGGAAGGTTTGGAGAGACGTCTTTTACCAAAACTGGCCACGGCTTATAGACAAGTGCGGCCTATATATGTTCAAGTTTTATTTTAATTTTAAAATGTAAATAATAATAAATAAATAAAGTGCTATGTGTTGTCATCATTGTATGTTCCCATACAAAGATGAAATTGGCTCTCTGCATTTAACCCATCACACCTGAGATACACCCAGGTGGAACAGTGGGCAGCTATGAAGCACCCGGGGAGCAATTCGGGATTGGGTGTCCTGCTCAGAGACACCACAAGATGTGCAATGACCGGGGATCGAACCCAGGACCTTTGGGTCCCGAGTCAACCAAGACAGAGTCCCCTGTCCCTACACCATCCCAGCCCCTGTGGGCGGAGCTTATATTCATCTGCACTCAATAGTCTGGAAATGACAGTAGTGCCATCTTAATATATGTTGTCCACCACCAAAAGCAATATTCAAAGTGTGGTAAGAATTCTGATAGATATTTATACAAACCTCATAGATATGTTGGCAAACAGATAAATGTTAATAAGATTATGTCAGTTTTGATGTGCTTGTTTATAATGTTGTTTAAAATAGTTGAGTTCAGCCTGTTAGGGGTAAAGTTGAAAATGAAACGATAAACTAGTAGGTCTTGCAGAAGTTTCATTAAAGTTGTGTTTGAGGGCTGAACTCAACCATCCTGACTGAAGATTAATGAATGACAGCTGTTCCTCTTTCTTCCACTCGTGGTGCTTTTAGCAGTAGATCCACTCCTGTATTTACACCTAAACGACTTCTTCTGCGCTCGTCTGATTTGTTCATTTATTAGAGCCATCTTAATGTCGCTAAGCCAAGTGGACGCTCGAGTCACTTGGTTATATATAAATGATATAAATAATATGATCTACCATTTGATACAGTTCAGCAGGATAAGCTTCTTTTCATTCATTGCAGTGAGAACATTTAAATAAATGATGACCAGCCCTTGTAAAAAGAAGCTGTAGCTCGAGGGATATTTTTCTAAGGTTTTATTTTATTGACTTTCTCCCTCACATATTTTCATCTTCATAAAGAAAAACCCCAGAGACTTCACATGATTCTTAAGCTTGATAATTTAACCCAAATTACTGTAGTCCTAATCAGGCTTCTAGCTGACCCTTTTGAACAATGAGTAAGTTCTTTATATATATATATGTATATATATATATATGTATATATATATATATATATATATATATATATATATATATATATATTGCAAAATCACTATCAACCAGTATTTTTGTTTATAATCAGTAAAAATCTTTCATAGATCTTTTGAAAGCGACATAGACAGAAACATATTTTGCCTCAGACTAAGTCCTGATGACCTTTTCTGCTCAACATGTTGCACAGAATCATCATTATTGAAAACTTGGAAAAAAACACAATTTATTTTGAAGTCTCTTTAAGTTCTCAGTGGTTTTAATCTAGAAGTGCTTGAAGGCAGTAATCTATGCCATTATGTGATCAGACAGTAAATAAATAGTAAAAATCTTTTTTATTCATGCAGACTTTTTGATCCAGTATGAAGACTCACTGCATCATCGAGGCCATTGGCACAACCTTACAGAGGTTCCTGGAACCATGACAACAGCCCATCTCAAACTTTCACCCTACGTTCACTACACCTTCAGAGTTTTTGCTCTGAACGCCGTCGGTCACAGCAACGCCAGCAGCCCCTCCAAAAAGTACAAAACCGACCCTGCAGGTAGAGAGTCACTTCCCAGGCTGTGTGATGCTTCACCTGTTAACTCCATTCATGAATAATGTGGTGCTGGAACAAACATTAAGCAGTATTTTGTAACCAGACACATTTAGGTGACATTTTTTAGTAAGCAGCAGCTTAATGGTTAATGAGAATGATCATTGAAATCGCATGGTCTTCAACAATCTAATTTTCAGCTCCGGATGAGAACCCAGCAGGTGTGCATGGATTTGGAACTGAAAGTAACAACCTGGTCATTTCCTGGAAGGTAATAAAAGAGTGCATGGCTAACCTATTTCAGCTCTGAGGTGTTAGCTAGGGAACACCAAAATGCTCAATATTAAATAAATAAATAAAGCATTATGAAATAAGATTTTTTTTCTTCTTTTTTTCGCAATTGGTGTTTTCCATGATGGCTTAATTATTTTATTATGACTTTTCAGCAGAATGACTTCAGCTGTCAATCAGCGTCAGTGGGTTGGACCTGCACGCCCACTGGCTGATCCTTCATGTCCATTAGTTTTCCTGCTCACTGGTACAGCTAGCATAGCAGCTAGCAGCGACTTACTAGGTTAACTGTCATGAAGGATGACAGAGTTAATGAACTTCGTTCAGCTCAGGTAACTTTAGCAGAACAAACTGAGAGGATTACGTTCTCAGAAGATACAGGTGTCGTGATAAAAAATGATGGACTGAATATAAACGATTGGCGCAGCAGGAGCGCTCATGGGAGGACTCGCTGTTTTAGTTCAGAATCAGAATAAGCTTTATTATCATTGAGATACAACAAGAAAATGTCCGTACAGTCGTCCGAAAGATGGGCGGAGTGCACGTAGCTGCTGCTATATATATCGAGGCCTTCTTATCCTTTTCAGAATACATTTTTTAGATAGAAAAAGGGATAAAGACATGAGGAGAGGATAGTGGCATTACAAAAAAGATCTCTTCACACCTTGTCCTATCAGGACACAATTTAAGACATAAAAAAACTCTGCCAGCAGCACGTTTATGAATACGTTAGATATGCATTTGACGACGAGGCGGTCCATGAAGCACTAACAGATAGACCATTGTCCTGATAAGATGATGGTCAGCCGGCACAGTTCTGATAAGCTTCCACGGGGGGTGCAAGTTGCGATAGACAAAGCTTTTCCTTAGTTTACACATTTCTCAGGAAAAATTGATGTCAGTCTGTTTCGAGACCAACCAGGTAGTCAGATTCAGATAAGCCACAATTGTTGATTTTTTTTCAGGCAGATTATTTTTCTTGTCAGCCTTGAGTCTGTACTGATACTTCCAAGGTTGGAAATGGTCAGGTTAGAGTGCATTCTACTGGTCAATGCTTACGAGCCTCTCCAAGGTCATTTCATGCTGATGAGTCCCAAAGCCGCATGTAGTCTGTGATTCAAATCACTTCCAACTTAGAGTTTAGCTCGTAAATCAGCTGATTTTGAGCCCTCAAAGCATGAACCAAACCTTCACATAGGCAGCAGTCTGACGAGGGCCAAATTAGCTGTGGCCGTCTTCTTTGTATGTTGATAAACCAGGAACCAGACTATTCCAAAAACAGGAAACCTGTTATCATAAATCTAATTAAATGCAATTTCTCTGTCCTCAGTTGACAACAGAGATAGACGCATCACATTCCACTTCGCCAGAGATATATCCAGCTGCAGCTGTCGTCCGAGCAGATGAGGGTTCTCCAGGACCCTGTCACTTTGTTGAGAAGATTTTGTCATTTGCATCGAAAGTCCAGTTGGTCAGATCCAAAACATTAGTTTTCATTTCGGAAGATGTGTAAAAATAGGAACTGCTCCGATACACAGACAGAGCAAAAAAGCAGAAGGAGAACAGGGAGAGGGAAGAGAATGCGTGCGCCTCGTTCCAGAGCCAGTGAATTTAACAAGATTAACACGTAAAAGCGATTATTTGTTTGCTCTAAATTATAAATTATATCTAAATGATTAGCTCTAAATTATGTTTGTCAGCAAGCAGGTATTCAGGAAAACTCATGGATGTGAAGGATCAGCCAGTGGGCGTGCAGGTCCAACCCACTGATGTTGATTGACAGCTGAAGTCATTCTGCTGAAAAGTCATTATGAAAAAAATAAGCCATCATGGAAAACACAATTATGAAATAAAAGAATAAAAAAAATTGTAATAATGAGCTTATATATTTATTTCATAATACTTTATTTATTTATTTATTTTTAAGCATTTTGGTGTTCCACAGTTAGCTTTCGTTCAAAGAGTACTAATATCCTTTGTTTGTGTGTGTGTTTATTGTTTATGTGTAAATGTACACACAAATCATATTGACTTTATCTCATTTTCTCTTGTTCTGATTTTCCTTGTAGTTATTTACAAACATTACAAAAGGCATGATGTTTTACTTTAGTAGAAGTACTTTAATTTAAAATACTTTAATCTTTCCTTCTGCAGCCTCTGACCAGCCTCCAGTCTAACGGTCCTGGGCTTCACTACAAAGTGAGCTGGAGGCAGAAGAGACCGGGCGCTGAGTGGACGACAGAGACCGTGTCCAACAATTCCAAGTTTGTCGTGTCTGGAACGCCCACATTTTTTCCGTACGAGATAAAAGTTCAGGCTGTGAACGACTACGGAGAGGGGCCGGAGCCGGCTGTTGTTCTCGGCTACTCAGGAGAGGACTGTGAGTTCCTGTAGCTCTTCAGACCTTTAGACTTGTAGTAAATGACAAAGCAAGAGCCTAGAGTGAAGCATTTGGTTGTGCAACCTGTAACATTTACTTTGCCCTTTTAGTCTTGCTCTTATCTCATGCTATGCTGTTTTTTTTTTTTTTTACCAACAGTGCCGATAGCAGCTCCAGACAACGTCCAGGCTGTTGTAATAAACAGCACTCTGGCAAAGGTACACTGGGATGCTGTGCCTCATCATTTACTGCGAGGACATCTCAAAGGATACAAGGTGCTTTATAATACATTACATTAACTGTAAGTTGAACACGTATCACTGACAGGTGCACACCTTGAAGATGCACAGTCTTTTTTTGAAAATTTGAAAACTGTATGCAAGTCTAAGCAACTTAAGTTTGCGACTTAAAGATTTGACTTCTTGTGTTGATTCTATTGACATGACAAAAACATCATCATTCTCCCAGCAGACAAAGGAAGGTGCACAGTGATTTTGAACCAGAAAGACTATCATGAGAAAGTTATGACACTCTTTACTGACTTAAACACTTATGAACCTCTGAAAAGAGATCCAGGAAGTGGTTACAAGAAGAAGTTGATAGATTGCCTGAAAATTTTGGAACAGGACAAGGCTATTGACGGTATTCTGTACCACAGACTGTACCCAGGGGAGGCCACACCTAGTCTGTATGGTTTACCTAAAATCCACAAACAAGGTGTACCTTTAAGACCTATTGTCATCATGATTAACTCTGTCACTCACAATGTTTCCAAATATCTGACGTCTGTACTCATCCCTTTAGTTGGCAGCTCAGAACACCACATACAGAACACCATGGACTTTGTGGATAAGGTGAGGGATGTCATCATGGAGACTGATGAAACAATGGTCTCTTTTGATGTCACATCACTCTTTACGTGCATTCCTGTTGATGATGCAGTAGAGGTGGTCAGTTTAAGATTAAAATCAGACACCACTCTGAGCAGCAGGACCACGCTTTCCACAGAACAACTGTGCCAACTCTTGAAACTGTGCCTGCAGTCAACCTACTTCACATATGGGGAGCAATATTATAGGCAGAAACATGGGTGTGCTATGGGGTCTCCAGTTTCTCCTATTGTTGCCAACCTGTACATGGAGGAGGTAGAAAAGAGAGCCTTGACGTCCTTTTCAGGGACACCACCAAGTCATTGGTTCAGGTATGTTGATGACACCTGGGTTAAAATTAAATCTCAGCAAGTCAAACATTTTATTGACCACATCAACTCTGTGGATAAATACATCAAGTTCACACAAGAAGATGTAAAAAATGGCAGGCTGGCTTTCTTGGACTGTGAGGTCTCAGTCTCTGATAGAGGACATTTGCAAACTGAGGTGTACCGCAAACCCACCCACACAGACCAGTATTTGCAGTTTGACTCCCATCACCCTTTGGAGCACAAGTTAGGAGTCATCAGGACTCTGTACCACAGAGCAGACAGCGTCCCCACTAACTCATGAGCCAGGCAGAAGGAGAAATCCCACACAAGACAGGCTCTAGAGCAATGTGGATATCCTAACTGGGCCTTCCTGAAAGCAGAGAAGAAACCCAAACAAGACTCCAGTCAGCCAACAGGTGAAAAGGAGGAACCCAGACCCAGACCAGTGGTCATTCCGTATGTTGAGGGAGTATCAGAGAAACTGAGACGTTTATTTTCTAAACATAACGTCCCAGTGGCTTTTAAACCCCAAAATACATTACGGCAAAGACTGGTTCATCCCAAAGATCCAGTCCCCCGGCACAAACAGAGTAATATTGTATATGCTGTTCAGTGTCAGGAGGGCTGTGATCAGTCTTACATCGGGGAAACTAAACAGCCACTGGCCAAAAGGATGGCCCAGCACAGAAGATCAACATCATCAGGCCAGGACTCTGCGGTCTACACTCATCTCCAGGCCAGCGGTCACTCTTTCAGGGATGAAGATGTTCACATCCTGGACAGAGAGGAACGATGGTTTGAGAGAGGAGTAAAGGAGGCCATCTTTGTGAAAAGAAATCGTCCATCGTTAAACAGGGGTGGAGGCCTCCAGGTTCAACTCTCCCCCTCTTACAATGCTGTGATTGCTAGTATCACTCAGCCCTCTGTGAATAGTAAACAGCCATCAGTGTGCTAATGATCCATTGTTAGGCTGATGGTCCTTCTTGACCATGTGATCAGCTGGTTTTGGTTGTCAGCAGCAAAACTGGTTGATCCACTCTGAGACGGTGCTATTTAAGAGACTGAGGTGAAAACAGCACCTCAGACTGAGGAAGTCTTTCGGATGAAAGACGAAACGTTTCTACAATTTATTTATTACATTTTTTTTTTGAGTGTCCAGAGGACCAGACTTAACTTTTTTAGATTTTTCTACATGGTTTATTGAGCATGCATCAGGATATTCTCTTGATATATTTCTTACTGAGTTAGATAAATGCACGTTTCTTCATGGTGGTTGAATGCAGCTCTAAATAAAAGAGCAGTTCTCCGTCAAAGCTTACATTTTACAGAACTGATCTGGTTCACACTTTTGTCTCTTGGACATTAAGGAGCAGCTCATGTTAACTAAAATGTTAGTTTGAAAATATTTTTTAGGATTTTAACCTTGTTTAGGGATGGCAAAAATTGAGCAATAGCATCACTTTTGCAGGTACATTACTGGAAAAACCACAGCAGTCACAAACACAACCCTGACCACATGGAGACCAACATCCTTACCTTCAGTGGGGACCACATCCACGGGATGCTGCCTGGTCTGCACCCCTTCACTCCCTACTCGTTTTATGTAGTGGTCTATAACGGCAAAGGAGAGGGGCCCAAGAGTTCACTGCACCACTTCAAGACACCTGAGGGAGGTAAGACAGTGAAAGGCTCGCTACAGTCATAAATGGGATTTAATGGTTGCTGAGAAAGTTACATTTTAGATCACTCATCACCAGCTTATGGGCAGTTAGATTTTATTTTGTTATATATACACTGTTAGTTTAACTGGTAAAAATATTATGTAAAACTCTGTCTATGAAAAATAAAAAAATGTATACATACCTTTTCAAACTATAACTATGTTTTGTTTAAAGAACTTTAGCAAAGTTGTGAACTGCTACTCACAAAAGTGATTTCTTAAATAAACTAAACAAAATTTTAATCACATTAACTTCAAATATTAATAAAGGGTTTGGTGAGAGAGTGGTGGCGCAGAGGTTAGAGAAGATGGGCATGTGATCGGAAGATCGTCGGCTCAATTCCTGGTATCGACAATATCAAAATGTAGGTGGGAAAGGTGAAACACCCACACCTGCCTCCACCCTCATCTGCTCCACTCTGGGCCCTTGAGCAAGGCCCTTAACCCCCACCATGTGCTCCTCCGGGCGCCCTAGATAGCAGCTCTGTGCTCCACACAGAGGGCTGTGGTTGCTCGGTGGTCTGTGGTTGTGACAGGAAGGACATCCTTTGTAAAAATAATTGCCAAGTCTTTGTGTGACTTAGTTCGCTGTGGCAACCCCTCAAGAAGGGAGCAGCCGAAAGAAGAAGAAATAAAATTAAAAAAGGGTTTTGTGGAAGGTGTATGGACATTTTGTATTTCACCTCCTGTAAATATGAGTTATCTCAGTTTGGATAAACAGAGTTTAATTTGGAGTAGATTAATAATCTAACAGTGATTAAAATACTTTAAAAGTTTTGAAAAGCTTCTTGTTTTATTTATTTATGGCAGCCCCTGGCCCCCCTGCCTCTCTGGAAGTGACTGATGCAAACCTGGACTCTCTGACTCTCGTCTGGACACCTCCTGTTGAACATAATGGGCACATCACCGGCTACACCCTTAAATATCAGCCAGGTGAGTTTGCTTTATTTCAGAAAAGCAAAAGAGTTTATGAATGTCGTCCTTCATGTAGTTTGTAGTTTAGTATATCACTCTTTTTCATGTCATTCTGTTCTTGTCATTAGACAGATATTATCAATAGAGTATCGTAAAACATTTTATTTTTCATTACATTTACAACACCAATTAACAAATCAACTCTGGTCCCTTACCTTTTTACTTCCTGAATCCTACACCCCTCATATCCAAATTCTGACTTTTTCACTTTTCTCACACTTCATACAACCCCTCCATCTTTCTCTTTGTTCAACTTACTGCTTTCCAACTTCTTCCCCTCCACCGCTGCTGTCACCCATCTCTCACCACTGTAGTCAATAACTCCAATGAGCTGGGCCCAGAGGAGGAGCTGGCGCTGGCCGCCAACCAGACCTCCATCACTTTGCCCAACCTCAAGTACAGCAAACGCTACAAGTTTTTGTTGAGTGCCCAAACGAGCAGTGGAGTAGGCCCAGCTTCTTCTCAGGAAGCTGTCATCCTCCTGGATGAAGGTAAGTCATCGGATGCAGAAAAGTGGAGGACCACAAGCTGGACAGCAGCTTATTTCAATAAATTCATGAAATATAGAATAAAATCCAATAGTGTGTTTGGTTCGCTTTAATCTCCATTTAAAAGCAGAAAACTTTTCACTCTGTCACAAAATGTTCTCCAATCATTTACCCATTACAACAGACACAATACATTTAAAGCAACGTGTAGAAGCTAAACACAGGACATGATATATTTAGTGTAAGATCATTTTTGATGACCGTTCAGGACGACTGAAGTCTTGAGAATGTCGCCATAGAAACCGTGATCAACATGGCAGCAGCTTGTAGATCACTGGGCGGCTATGCCCCAAAGCACCAACTAATGGGATTATAATTTATGACATGAACATCGTGCTGGACTGAAACTGACGACTGAAACAAACTCATTAGGAAAATGTTTTGAAAGGTTATTAATCATTATTAGGATATTCAGTTCTCGCTATTTAAAAACGATGTAATTGTTTCTTTTTACCACAGGAAGTCACTTTGTTAGAATAAAAATCTAATTTTAAGCAACAGTTTGTAACAAAAATGCCATTTGTTGCTTCTAACTTTACAAAGAGCACATTTGCTTTTAACTTTTTCAAAATTATTTGAATAATTTCTTGAGCTATTTGACAAAACAAGCAGTCATTAAGACATCACATATGACTAATGACAATGCACTTTTCTCTTTTCACTGACATTTTATATCATGTGCAAACAGTACAAAACAAAAGCATTTTAACTGACCATGAACATATGTGAAACTGGTGCTTTATTGTTGCATCACTTTATTGTATTTGTGCAGATTTACACAACTTCAGCTCATCTTTTGTTCCTGTATGTTGCATAATTAGCATCATTTTACCCCAGCACAGTTAATTAGATCCTGACTCATGAATCTCCTCCCTGACTTTGACACAGCATGACCACCTAAATATCTCTCTGATCTAAAAGTGGCACCAGCTGGGGGGTGTTACAGAGCACCGTGACCCCCGTCACTTTGTTTCTCCATGCCTCTTTAACCTCAGGAAGCAGATTGTGACAAACGTGCGCAGCTTCTAAACTGATGCACATGCTCATCTTTGAGGACCCTCGCCATGACTTTTTGAAATTATGTGACCCTGCAAGTTGTGTGTTTGAGTTGTGCACATGTGACATGTGCCTTCTGACTTCCATTTCAAAACACCAGGCGAGACTATTCAAAGTGGTCTGCTGCTTTTCTGTTCCTGCCTCTTCCATGGTGGCTGCTGCTTCTTCCTGCTGCATGATCAGGGGTTGCTCAGCATGCTAATGAACTGTGTTTGTGTGTGTCCTTGTGCAAAATGTCTTTGTGGATTTTTATAAATGCCTTATGCATGTGTGTGCATGTGTATACACTTTGGGTGTGGCGCCATCTTTACCCTCTTGATGTTGTTTACAGGAAATACTCAAACCTCCCACCCTTTTGCATGGCCTCCTCCTCGTCGTCCACTTCACAAGGGTACAGAGCCTGCTGCGATTTCAGTCAACTGCATGTCTGATGAGTGTGCTGTAGGCTCATGTGTTTGCTGTTTTCATAGCGTAGTTGTCCCAGTTTTGTTGTCATGTAGGTTTGCGTAGCTTCATTTACAGCATGTAATGGAAGTATCAATCAGGCAGCGACTCGTTGAGTTGACCAGCAGACCCTCCTTGATGTTTGTCTTCTCTCTTGTGTGCGCAGCGAGGCCCGCGAGTCCTTTCGCTAACGTTAGCTACTCGCTTGAAGAAGACGGGGCTCTGATCAGTTGGAAGAACTGGGGCCCAGAGAAAAACGTTTATGTAGAATACATAACAGACAACAGTAAGCAAAGCATTCCTCTCAGTTTCATGCACAGGTGGGAAGAGACTCGTACTTCAGTGCTGGCTCCTGCAGAGGAAAAGAAAGATGGGCTTTCATATCATCTCTGAGTCCTGCCAGCAGAGACATAGATGTGATAAATTAACCCTCCTATGATTGGATTGCTTATTAGTCGGTGCTGCTATTGATTTAAGTTGTACTCATTACCAGCAACTATTTGGATGGATGCTATAGACATGTCCCAGAAAGCAGCTTACTATTTGTATGCCAGCTGAAGTGCTTCCCATTGTTTTTGTCCACCTGTAGTGAGGTGGAAAGCACTGTAGTATGACTCTCTTACCCCTACTGTTGTACTCATCCAGGTAATAATAATACATTAATTGTATCAAGCACATAATCCAGCGATCATCAGTCATTATACATTTCACCTTTAGCTCATGTTTACTTTGTGTATGGTGGCCCTGAGAGCACGCATGCTGATAAACATATTGAATTTACAGTACTAAGAATATTTACAGTGCTGTGCATACATTTTAAATTAGCCTTATTTTATTTGTACTTTTCATTCAAGAAGCCAGACCTTCTTGTAATCGTTTCAAATGGTCTTGATCAATATTTCTCTAGATTTTCAGAAGATCTTTCCAAGTTTTTACTTTGATGCTTTTTTTATTAGCTTTCTGAAAAAAGAGATGGGTAGGAAAAAAAACACAAAGATAGAAATAATGGTAACAAAAATAGAGGCCACACAGTTTTATAGTTGTATCTGGAAGTCATGTATATAAGAATTACCGTATTTTCCAGCATATAAGTCACCCCCGAGTACAAGTCGCATCAGTCAAAAAAAGCATCATGAAGAGGAACAAAACATATATAAATCGCTTCTGCATATAAGTTGCATTTTTAATGCGTCACAGCTGACCCGTCGCATTTATTATGTGTTTATTTTATGGTCAAAACTGATTCATTTTGCCTGGGTGGTGTGGCACCTTCCATCCATCCATCGCAGCTGGAACGGTTAGCTCTCCAGCGTTCCTCCACCTGCACCAGCTGAGTGAAGCGAGCGCACACAGGACGACTCGCTGTAGCAGTTCTTCAAAATTCAAAGTGTCAGTCAAAAATTGTGTTATTAATATGGAAAAAAAAAGTATTTAAGTTGCTTCGGCGTTTAAGTCACAGGACTGAAAAATCTCTGCACAAAAACTGCAACTTATACACTGGAAAATACAGTAGTGGTGAAAGAATCCAGCACATAAATTATTCCCCTGAAAATCATCAGATAATAGGCATAGAATTGGGGTTGGGGGGCAGCCCAAATACAAACAAAAGCATTGGAAGACCTTCAGAAAGTCGGAAGAACGTCTAATTAATGCCAACAAAGTCTGCCTCGTTAAAAGTGTAGCTTAGAGGAATGAGAAATAACTCAAGACTTTTGCACAGTACTCTACATTTTTCTGCTTGAATGTTTTTTTGTGTTTTGATGGTTTTAAAGAAACTCGAGTAACTCCAGTTGTGGCATAACTGCGTGCAATAAATAATCAGAACAATCATCCTTTTTTTTACTCATCTATTCAACAGCCAAACTGATTAATTCAATTCAGTTTATTTATATAGCGCCAAATCACAACAAAGTTGTCTCAGGGCACTTTACAGGAACATTCACATAGATAAAAGCCAATTAATAAAGTTCTCTATCTAAGGAATCCAGCAGACAAGTTGAATCTTGGCTTCGTTGCAGTCTCCCATCCTGAGCAAGCACAGTGGCAACAGTGGAAAGAAAAAACTCCCTTTTAAAAGGAAGAAACCTCCAGCAGAACCAGGCTCAGGACAAGCGGCCATCTGCTTTGACCGGCTGGTTGAGAGGACAGGAATGAGAGACAGACGAACACAGAATGGTAGGTCCAGTGTATCTGAAAGACAAAAAGCACATGTTAAGGATAGAAACAATAATTACAAATACAAAACAGGTTGAGCAGAGTAATTAAAGACAGTAGCAGAGTGAAAATTGTGGTCAGTTTGTCCTCCAGCAGTCTAAGCCTATAGCAGCATAACTAAGGGACAGCTCAGGAAACCCAAACCGACCCTAACTATAGGATTTAGCAAAAAGGAAAGTCTTAAGCCTAGTTTTAAAACTGGATAATGTGTCAGCCTCACGGACAGAGATTGGCAGTTGGTTCCACACAGAGGAGCCTGATAACTGAAAGATCTGCCTCCCATTCTGCTTTTGGAAACTCTAGGAACCACAAGTAAACCTGCAGTCTGAGAGCGAAGTGCTCTGTTAGGAAAATATGGAACAATAAGATCTGTAATATAAGATGGAGCTAGGTTGTTGAGAGCTTTGTAGGTTAGAAGTAAGATTTTGAATTCTATTCTGGATTTGACAGGGAGCCAATGGAGAGAAACTAAAACTGGAGAGATGTGATCGCTCCCACTAACTCCAGTTAAGACTCTGGCAGCAGCATTTTGGATCAACTGAAGATGTTTTAAAGAAGTATTTGGACATCCAGATAAAAAACCATTGCAATAGTCCAGTCTAGATGTGACAAATGCATGGACCAGTTTTTCTGCATCATTTTTAGATAAGATGTTTCTAATTTTAGTGATATTACGCAGGTGGAAGAAGGTGGTTCTAGTAACGTTTTTAATGTGGGGGATAAAAGACATGTCCTGATCAAAAATAACACCAAGATTTTTAACATTAGAGCTGGAGGACAGATTAATGCCATCTAAGGTGAGAGAAAGACTGAAAAATTCATTCCTAAGGTGCTCAGGTCCAAAAACCAAAACCTCAGTTTTGTCTGTGTTCAAAAGGAGAAAATTAAGGGTCATTCAGGTTTTTATGTCTTTAAGACATGCTTGTAGTCTAAGTAGCTGATTGGATTCATTGGGTTTAATGGACAAATATAATTGTGTGTCATCAGCATAACAATGAAAATTTATCCCATGCTGTTTAATAACTACCTAATGGAAGCATATATAAAGTGAAGAATATTGGCCCAAGCACTGAGCCCTGAGGAACTCCATGACTAACTTTGGTGTATGAAGAAGATTTATTATTTTCATTTACAAACTGGAATCTATCAGATAGATATGATTTAAACCATTTAGAGCTGTTCCTGTAACCCCAATATCATATTCAAGCCTCTGTAGTAAAATATTGTGATCAACTGCATCAAATGCAGCACTGAGGTCTAACAGGACCAGTATAGACACAAGTCCATTGTCTGAGGCCATGAGAATATCATTAGTTACTTTTACTAGTGCTGTTCTGTGCTATGATGAGCTCTAAACCCTGACTGAAACTCTTCAAACAGATTATTTCTTTGTAGATGTTCACGCAACTGACCTGCAACTATTTTCTCTAGAATTTTTGAGGTGAAAGTTAGATTAGATATAGGTCTATAGTTGGCCAGAATTTCTGAATCAAGGTCAGACTTCTTAAGTAAAGGTTTAATTACAGCAACCTTAAAGCGCTGTGGTACATAACCATCCATTAAAGACAAATTAAGTAGATTCAGAATATGGACATTAATTAGGGGAAATACCTCTTTAAACAGTCTGGATGGGATGGGATCTAGCAGGCATGTGGATGGTTTGGATGACGTTATTATTTGTGACAATTCAGAGAGCTCAACAGGACAAAAACTGTCCAAACATAAATCAGGCTCTGGTGAAATTTTTAAAGTTGATTAAAAACAGTTTTTTAATCCATTCAGTTGTTGAAACTATTCACATAAACATAAATACTTGAAAAGGAGTCTACCACGGTGACAGCACCATTTCAAGCAGATTTAAAGACAGCTGTTTGGATTTGCACCTATATTTAATGCTTTGTTGTGTTTTGACAAAATCTTTATCAAAAACTACAATGTTCCATAGATTTAATCTGTAGATTTCACTGAGATGATTTTTATAGAAACCACTTTAGTAACTAACTTTAGATCTGGACTCAAGTCATGTAGTTGTGATGACTAAAATCACATGAAATGGTTGCTCTCCCACTGGATGATTGTGTTTGATTTTACTCGTAACAAACAGTTTTATTATACTAAGCGTATTCGGTCTCTTTTTTTTTTCCGAGGCTGCAATATTTGATCCTGTAGTGACATTCAAATAGTTTTCTTGATTTGCACGGCCTTTTTGAAGTTGCAGTGAGCTTTAAGGGCCACCATACTAATTTATTCATGCACCTAATGCATCTTCAGAACTCAGAGAAAATCAATGATTTTAATCACATGGGTGGATGTTGTGATCAACCACATAGCTCATCATGTCACAGTCACCATGGTCCATTTGAAAAGTGTCTTTCACCCCCTCCAACATGCCTCTCTTCATCAACGTCCCTCCTGCAGGTGAAGAGGAGTGGCAGAGAGAGCTCGTGAATGGCTCTGAGAACGTTAAGCTGACTGGCTTAAAGGTCGGCCTCCCCTATAGGGTGCGCGTGGTGGCCATAGGTCACCGCGACCAGCCGCTCCACTCTGAAGAGCTTTTTGTCACGGTCCCAGGTGAGGCACTTGTTGGGATGAAGCCTCTGCTGTGGTCTGAGCCGGGCCTCGCACCGCGGCGCTTATGCAGAACGTTTAGCCATTTGAGCTGTTGTTTAATCTGACAGTAGTGACGTCGTGTAGCAGCGTGCATGACTCTCTGGTTTATGTCCTGATTAATTATCGTCAGTGCAGAGTTTTCAATCTCTTAGTTTGGATGTTCAAATGTAGAAGTTCTTCAGAGTTTTAATCTCTAACTTAACGTCACTCACAGGAAACGAGCCCATTTGTGTGTAAACGTTGTCTCTGTGTGCATCTTAGTGTTTGTGCACTTGTCTTCTCTGATTTTGTACACAGCTGAGTCCTTGCTGCTAAAAGCCTATAGATTTCTAACTCGCCTAACAAGATTACCTTTAAGCATGTGCACTTTTTATTCCAGCCTTAAACTGAAATAACTAATAGCTTTCATACCTGTCAGAGTAATGTCCAACAACCCTTTCTGCGTTCAGTTAGGAATCTTTTTTCTTGTCGCTGATAAAGAGTTGACTTGGGTTCCAGTAATGAAAATGTTGTTTTTTGTCCTTCTCTGGCCAGCTGTGGCGAGCAGACAGGTGGACATCGCCACTCAGGGATGGTTCATCTGCCTCATGTGCGCCATCGCACTGCTCATCCTGATTCTTCTCATTATCTGCTTCATTCAGAGAAATAAAGGAGGAAAATATCCCGGTGAGCACAAACATCCCCACAAGTAAACCAAGGCTGTGAGGCTTTCTGTTTTCTTTAAACGTCACTTTGAAATAGATTGTTTCAGCTGGTTTTGGTCTCACTGTGTTTGTTTGATTTACCAGTAAGGACATAGATCACTTCCACATCTTTCTCATGTTGTTTTAATGGGACATTTTCCCTCATATTTACAGTACGCTTTTATAAAAAAATAAAAATCATTGCTTTAGTATATTTATAGTACACGTTTACCTAAACTGCCTTCTGTATCTCTCCAGTCAAAGAGAAAGAGGACGCACACACAGACCCTGAATTCCAGCCAATGAAAGACGATGAGTGTACTTTTGTGGAATACAGGTGAGAGAAGACGCTCTGGCTTCCCGAGCCCCCCGCAGCCTCCATTTTTAACCATTAATCCTGGCCCTGCGCCCACTTCTGGCCCAGATCGCTCTCTGACTGGGCCTGCAACGCTTCACTCCCTTTCTTCTTCTCAAACGTTCCAGCTGACCACTAAATCACTCAAATCCATCAAAGATGGGATGAAGTATCCTCAGTCTGACCTTCTGCTACAAAGAAGCACAAGACTTTTTATCTGGGTTGTGGGATGTCTTGGCCACTGATGTTGGACATCATGAGAGTGTGGAATCATTTAAGGAGCAGGATTCTTCAGGTCTAAGAGATTCATTGTTTCAAAGGTTGAACTGTGACTGTTGCAAAATATAAAGCTGTTTCAAGCATTGGATTTAATCTCAGATAATAAGCTAATCATGTAGAAAACATTGTATTAACAGTTTGCTTCATGCATTTCTGCTTACATGAGCTGAAAGGACAGAAAAACATTAAACTTCTGACTTCCAGCAGTTACTCCGTTACATCTTCTCTGTGGGCTGCTTCTCCAATCACACGCTGAAGTTCAAAAACAGAACAAAAAGAAGAAGCACTTTATTCTGTATATCCATCATTTCTCCACTTTGATTTTAAAAATCAATTTATAAGATAGTCTTGCTTTTATATTTTGTATGATATTCCTTTTTGTATTAAAACAAAAGTATTAAATTGGTTTTATGCAGTTATTATATATACATATATATATTATGCACGGATCGACAACAGTCATTTTGCTTTAGATAAAGTGCTGAATGGAAATGCATTATAGAAATGCAAATGGTTGCAATGTGACATTAAAAGCATGTTTGAGGGACGCCTGTCAACTCTGAGCTGGTTGTTGCTGTTACTGACGGTCAGTTTCTGTTCATAAAGAGTGCTCTTATTCTACGTTTCTGTCATGACTCGAAATTCTGAAAAAAGGTTCAAACCTGCAGCATGGTTGCCCAACATTATGTGTAGTTTACATTCAAAGTGTAACTACATTTTTCAACATAAGCTGCAAAGATGCACTTCTACACTGCAGAAGCTTTAAATCTCCTTAAAATGCACAATATTATTTAGAATCAGCTTCTCCAAGTTATTAGGAGAGGAGTCCATGAATTTGTGGCTGTTTTCAGCATCAGATTTTGTTGAAGAAACTGTTTAAAACTCCTGAAGTGAGGTTGTGTGGAAAGGTTAAAATTAATGAATATGTTACCTGTTGTAGATGGTCTGCTTGATCTCAGTTTTGAGAAATAGTTTAATTAAAACCAGACTGATGAGCTAATGGTTCGTACTGGTTCATTTCAATAATTTCCTTACATAGAGAACTTTACTAATTGGCTTTTCTATATATGTGAATGTTTCTGTTCAGTGCCCTGAGCCAACTTTGTTGTGAACTGGCGCTATATATATAAACTGAATTGAATGGAATTGAACGTTACACATATTTATATAAGCATCAATTCATTAAGAAGCTATTTACAAATGTTTATATAATTCTGAAACACAAGCAGCAGCAGCTAGCTGTAGCCCTTCTGATGCTGGTTGGGACACCTCTGGCAGAAAGATGCCAGAATAACAGTGTGATGTGAAATTGGCGGTGGTGTTAATGTTTGTGCAATAGAATTCACATGAACTGCTGTGAATGTTTTAAAGATAAGAGCTGTTATAATGAAGTAGATAAATTGTTTGTTCAGAAGGTTCCGCGAGGGTGCAGACTGTTACGAAATGTTTTGGGTCAAACTTATCTCCTATTTCAGGAAAGGAAAACGTGTTTATCTTATGGGAAGAAAACCAGGTGTCAGAAGTCTGGGCACACTGCCAGAGATAAGGTCTGCTTGACAACATTGCAATAACAAGCTTATGTTTATGCAAGCCTCTGATGTACATTTAGGATATAAAAGTGATCAGGGCTAGTTTGAGAGAGGAATTTTTCCTTTCGTTCTTGTGCTGTTCTTGCTGTCAATCAAAGTCAAAATGTGAAAATTGTTTTTATTTAATGATTAAATAAACAAAGTAAAAAAATCTACTACATTTTGGTGCCCAACATGGGGCCTTCTGAACAAACAACTTCTCTACATCAATAAGACAACAGAGGGAGTGGTGGCGCAGAGGTTAGAGAAGGTAGACTTGTGATTGGAAGGTCGCCGGTTCAACCCCCAGATCGACAACATCAAAATGTGGGTGGGAAAAGTGAACCATCCACACCTGCCTCATTGGCCCCACTCTAGGCCCTTGAGCAAGGCCCTTAACCCACACCATCTTCTCCCCTGGGTGCCCTAGATGGCAGCTCTCTGCTCCAAACAGAGGGCTGTGGAGCATCAGGAAGGGCATCTGGCTTAAAATAAATAAAAAATCAAGTCTTCGTGCGAGTTAGTTCACTGTGGCAAACCCTGAAGAAGGGAGCAGCTGAAAGAGAAAGAAAACACAAAATAAAATAAATAAGACAACAGCAGTCTTTGGTCTTGACATCGCTCAGAGCAGCTGTTAGCTCATCGATCCAGTCCAAATTCTGCAAAGTACAGTCGTTTAAAGAGCACAAAATTCTACTAAAGATCTGAACTATCTCTTACATAAACCAGTTATTCTGTAGAATTAATTTACTAGAATAAATAACATTTATTGGTATGAAGTTGCAAAGTTCACTTTAAACGTGTTTGAACTGGTTTTGGAACAGCATCTTAAAGTGTATAACTTTGTTGAGTAAGCTCAATTTGCAAAATGAGCTTAGTGGCACCAGCTTATTATTGGTTTTGATCTTTTATAGGATAAAAAATTATTAAAAATAATAAGAAAATGTTGAATGGCATCAACCTCTGGTTTTTTTGACTAAAGATTGGATGAAAACACCGGTCACCAACTCAGAACAGATTAAATAAATCACCAGTCCCAGTCCACAAACTACAGAGGCATCTAAAAAAATTGAGAAATAGTACAATTTGTTTTTGTCAGCCATTTCAGAAAGTTAAACTTAAAATATTACATAGATTTATTACACATAGAGTGAAACATTTCAAGAACCCCTTCACAATATTCCAATCATCTGAGACACTGAATGTTGGTGTTTTATTATTTGTAACACATAATCATCAAAATTACAAAAACAAAAGCTTGAAATATTTCACTTTGTGTTTAATGAATCTAATTTAGTTTCACTTTCTGAAATGAATGACAAAAAAACTGCACTTTTTTACAATATTCTAGTTTTTTTTTTTTAATACACCTGTTTTGTGAGGGATTTTTTTTTTTCTTTCCCATCTTTGTTTTTCTAAGCAGGACATCTAAAAATAAGCCAATAAAAACCCAATGTTACTCACCTGATCCGTTCTTTGCATGTCACTAATCTACAAACCTCACATCTTCCCACACGTGCACGAAAAGTTGTAAAACACTTTGTAGGAGTGGTTGTATGTGTGGGATTTCAGTGAGACGTCCTCACCTGGTCTCGAGAGTGTAGGTGTGAGTAAAGGTAAGGGTGGGGGGCGGGGGGGGGGGGGGGGCTGTAGATACTGAAGTCACTGTGGAGAAAAACATCCAGTTTAATATTTGATCATGAAGCTTTCATCATGTTCAGTGCCTGTTAAAATCATGTTCTATTATCTGTGGCTTCATGGCGCCACTCGTCTTCTTGGAGATTTTTTAACGATTCGTTATTTCATTAAAAAAAATACTGGACATTATGAAGGCTTTGTGTTCATACATTACTGACGTTTACCTCATGGAATGTTTTTATCAGAGCCAAAGAAAACTTTCTTTGCAATTGTTTCATGCAACTTGTGACTTCTCTCATGCTTGCTTTTGGGGAAGGGATGTGTGGCTGAAAACTTGCTTTACAAGTTTTATTCACTTCATTGCACCGGATCTTCTGTTTGTCATCACAACTTCCGTCTTGGGAGCCGGGGGGGGGGGGGGGGGGGGGGGGGGGGGGCAATGCTTTGGTCACACACTTGTGTATTTGGTTTCATGGGGAATTTGAACAAAGTATGATTGCTTTAACTTTATTCCCCTGTTGCCTGATGGAAACCATGTAATCGTGATTATTTTTACAACCATAACTGAAAAAGTTGGTGCATTGTGTAAAATCTCCTAAAGAACTGAATGCAACACTTAGTAAATTTAATAAACCTTTATTTTATTCTTTATTGAACATAGTAAACATATCAAAAGTTTAAACATAAAGAAGTACATTAAAAGGGTAATTTTGAATTTCATGGCAGCAACAATTTAAAAAGTGGGATCAGAGGCACAGTGGTGAAACGGGTAGAGCTGCTGCCTCTCAGCGAGCAGGTTACCCTGGTTCAAATCCTGGTCCAGGGTCCTTTCTGGGTGGAGGTTGCATGTTCTCTCTGTGCATGCATGGGCTTTCTCAAGGTACTCCAGTTTCCTCCCACAGACCAAAACATGCATGTTAAGCTGATTGGTAACTCTAAATTGTCCCTAGGTGAGAGAGTGAATGGTTGTTTGTCTTGTCTGTCTCTATGTGATGGACTGAAGACCTGTCCACAGTGACTGCTGGATATGGGCACCAGTGACCCAGAAAGGAAGAACCAGATAAAGATAATGGATGGATGGAGATTTGCATTCTGTTCTTTATATATATATATATATATATATATATATATGTATATATAGACATATTACACAACATACCAACTTTTTTGTTGCTTCAGTTGTAGACTTTGAGCAAGTCAAGCTAAAATGTATAGAGCATTATTTTCCACACTCATGGTTATAAGTAATAATTGGCAGCTGCATGCTCCATCTAAAACAAAAAAAGAAGTTCTCACTAACCTACCTGTTGCATCAGTCACTTCATCTCACCTGTAACGTCTGCATGTTTTCTCCCTCAGTGACAATGAGGACCATAAACCGTTAAAGGGGAGCCGCACACCGTCCAACGGCACAGTTAAGAGAGACGACAGTGACGACAGTTTAGTTGACTACGGGGAAGGAGGAGACGGACAGTTCAACGAAGACGGCTCCTTTATTGGCCAGTATAGTGGGAAGAGCTCCTGCAGGGACAATGCTGAGGGCCCTGAGAGCTCGGAGGCCCCGTCTCCTATAAATACCATGAACTCCTTGAACTCTTTTGTGTAGCTAATTGGTGCTTGCAGAGCAGGATGGTGTGCTGCACGGACTGCCTGCATCCTCCTCAGTCCCAAACATCTCCCCTTCCCCTGCGCTGCATGGCTTCTTGATCATACACCCCGTCTGCATTCGTACATGATCCAAGAAACAAAAAGATCATCGGAAGATATTTATGCTTTCGCTTCTTTACAGAGATGTTTGGAAACTGTTATAGCACGGTGTATGTGTTTTTTCTGTGCACGTGACCTTTGCTTATTGAGCTCAGTTGAAGGCCAACAGGGAATGCTGACAGCGCAGTAGCTTCCCATAGTGCTGCTGCAGCAGTTTGTGCCTTTCCACACAATCACTCAGTTTTTAAGACTCGTTTCTTTGAGTTCATGTACCAGAACGGAGACAGTAATGGGACTGCAGGTGTCACATCCAAGAAGATCCACCTGAGGACATTTTGGACGGGAACTTTGATTCCTCTGTGAATTATCACGCTCACGATGAATCAGCTCTAAACGTTGTTTTAAGCTTCTTACGGTGCACGAAAAGGTGATTGATGTTATATCTGCAGTGTATTAATGAATGGAAACCTGAGTGTGTGTCAACATGTGTGTGTGTCAGACATCACTGTTTTCAGTTTTTATTAGGCAGCATTTGTTCATATGTACCAACTAACGCTGAGGGCCTTTGGGTGGGATGAAGATGTTCTTTTTTCTTAACTTGCATCAAGTTTTATTTTCTTAAGACCTTGTTGTAAATACTTTGATTGTACAGGGACAAGCATCATATATGGTAGTTAATAAGTGGCAATGTTGTGCATGAATTGGTTTCATTTGTTTATTGGGCTGTAATAAATGTAGACTACTTGTAGAAAATATATACATAAAAGTAATTGCTATTTTTTTTCTTGCTGTGCAAATTGTACATTGTAATGCAACTAACTGGACTGATTTTTTTATACATAAATTATTGTTTTTCTAATTATTATAACTTAGGTATCTTTCATCAACATCATGATGCGCAGACTTATAAATTTGTACTGGTTTTACTCATTACCATTTTATTCCTGCTTTTCTGACAGTTTTGTATTTAAGAAACAGATTTGTACTGACATTTTTCCCCTTCAATTGTAAGTTTTATTTTTTTTTAGTACAAGTATGACATTTTGGCTGCAGAAACTACAACAGCTAAATAAATGACAATTTGCTTCATGTTTTCTGACTCTTAGCTCATAAAGTCCTTTCTTGACAAATACAGACATTGTTATTCTGTCTTTGCACAGTTAGTGCTACATATTGTAGCCATCACTGACAATGAAAGCCCATAAAGAAATGATTTGCTCTTTCAGGATGCTCTGCAGCCGACACTCATTTCACTAATAGCAAGGGGAAATAAATATCTAATAAAGAACATCTTTGCAGCAAGTTAACATCCACAGCAGCTTTACCGTGGAACGTTTAGGTGCGAGGGCTAATAACTGCTTTGCAGCATGAGATCAAGTGTTCCTCCAGTTATAGGTCTTTTGCATTGTAAGGCCCAGCATGGCTTGGGTCAGTCCAGCCTGGGTTCGAGACCAGGTTTTGAGTCTTTGCATTGGGCAGTCTGGTTCATATTTAACAACCCAGTAACCCGGGGTTTCATGGGGGCCGACTGGTGCTAAAGATTTTACTGGTCCGGCTGTATGTGTGACTTCAAACAGCTGTAAACAAGCCAGCATTAGCTAGCGTTAGCTTACCTTCTTTCTTCTTCTTGCACTCCTGCAACAATACAGTACAACTTTATTTATAAAGCACTTTAAAACAGCACCGTTGGCCAAAGTGCTGTACACTGACCCAAACAAGCATAAAGCCCATAAAATCAACTGAAACCGTGAAAGTAATGAACTGTTAAAATCATAAATCAGCAAACAGTAAAAACAATAAAGCAAATAACTTAAAAACATTAAAACCAACATTTCAAGCTGAGTTCAAAGCCAAAGAGAGAAAAAAAAGTTTATTCAGGGAAGATTTAAAAACAGGAAGTGAGTCCACCTTTCTTAACATACAAAACTAGTTTGTTCCACAATTTAGGGGCAGAGACTGAGAACGCTCAGTCACCTCTCAGCCTCCTGTTTGGAACGACCAGCAGCAGCTGATCTGCTGACCTGAGGGAGCGTGAGGGAACGTATGGCTGGAGCAGGTCGGACAGATACTGTGGGGCGAGATCATGAAAACATTTGAAAACAAATAAAAGGACCTTAAAATTGATCTTTAAACAAACTGGGAGCCAGTGTAATGATTCTAAAACAGGGGTGATGTGCTCTTGTTTTGTGATTCTTTTTTGCGGCAACATTTCATGTCCTCATGTTTCTCTGACCCTGATTTTTTCTAAAATGTGCCAAATATTTATAACAAAGTATTTTAATTATACATTTAGATGTTTGCCATCATTCAAATATAAATGAAATACATTTAAAATATTATTTTGTACTTTACACACCTTTTTGGTGACACACATGCTCAATTTCATTGTGTCCACAGTGCAGTGTAATAGACTTCCTCAAGAAGTTTAAACTATAAAATAAAATAAAAAAATGTCTTCAATATTTTGATTGACTGGACTAAACCTTATTTTATTATGCAATTGAATCTGTTGGAACTATTTTTCTTGTTTGATATTTTCACATATTCTACATGTCCCAGTAGTAACGTTCCACCGTGTTAGAATGTTTCCTTTTGCCTTCAAAAAGACTACAATTCCATAAAAGCTATTTACAGGAAGTGACATCAATTGATTTTGAAGGAATTTTAACCATGGAGAACAAGATAAGCTTCAACTGTCACTCTCTTCTTAATTTTTTTTTATCTTTAATATATTAAACCTGTATGAGTTAACCTTAAAGTTCCACCCTGTTAAGATAAATTGTGGAAAATGTTTATTCAGTAGAATTTTAAAAACAACATATTAGATGTAACGATTAAAGGTTTGTTATTCTGTTGAAGGTTAGCTAGCTAAATGTTGACCACATAAAGAGCTACAGTAAGATTAGCTAAAAAAAATTCCACCCTGTTAGGTTTATGAACCAAACAGGGTGGAACGAGGATCTAACAGGGTGGAAATCAGGGTGAAAAGTA